GGAATTCCCCAGATTCCTGCGAGACAATGACCAACACAAAGCAGGGGGGGTTCTCTCCGTCTCATACCTTGCTGCATATGTCGAAGAGTGGGCACATCTGGAGCCCTGCTGTGTATTCCTATAGTTTTGAGCTTCTCTGAAATCGAAGAGAACCTCACCCATGTGTCTTTCTAAGTCCTCCAATTGTGATTGTCGTCGGCCGTGAATTATTCGTATTCCCCAGGCTCAGTGCCTGCTGTGTTTGTCAGATAATCCAGCCCTGTCCCTCCTGTTTACCCTGTTTCATTTCTTTTTTCACGAAATCAATTGGCTAAGGGGAAATTGTTTGCCAAAGCATGTACCCCGTACCTGCTCTTAACAAAGAGACGGCTACAAAATTTGAAATTGTTCAGAAATATAACTAAATCCTGTGGGTGCACCCTTGCCGTGTTTCCCTGACATATTACGACTAACTTATTGGGAATTGTGACCAAGGACGATAACTAAAACCTTTTTTGTCTTCCCTGCACATGACGATCTACCTAAATCACTAATTTAATTAATTCCAAGCTGCCTACTTCCGTTCATGCAAAGAGACTGTAGTGCAAGGGCTATTTCAGGCTCGTGAGATCTCATGCAGCTTTCACTTTACTGGCTGCACAGCAAAAGCCCTTTCATTGTTGTAATGCTATATAACGCAAACATCCCCGTCAGTCGGTCAACACTGGCGATTCTCTATGATGGCTCTATCCTCCATTCCCCTCAATCTTCTTTACTGTATACAGAAGTGACACGCTGCTCCTGTGCTTTTGTAAGAAAAAACTAATTTGCAAACGGAAAACCCAACTAGAATCGATTCAGTGGGCTTTTGGCATCTCAAATAGCGACAGTAGAAATTAAACCTTGCGAGTCAGGAAACGCCAAGAAGGGGCAGGGGTTCGATACTGTCAGCTTGCTCTGAACGGCGCTTAAATGACGCTTCTGAAACTTTGTGAGACTTAAAAACGTGTCCATTGGCTTAAAATAAATTCTCATATCGGACGCAGGTTTTGGAAGGTGTAAGATGTGGCAGATCTTAAGGTGATTCATTGCGCCTGTTGTACAGGTATTTCTAACAGGAGGCTTTGCGCGCGGATAGGATGGGAATGCGCAGCTGTATGGGAATAGTCGTTTATTTGCTGTGATAACGCCCGAGGACTCTTGTCTGTATGATTGCACATCCTCCTCACAAGATCTGCCGAGACAATTTTGGCACACCATCTAAAGCTGAGGGTTCACGGCTCTCCGGAGTTTGAACTCGCAGTAACAAGAGCTCGAACGGAGCTTTGCCCGTGGGCAACGGGAACCCTCTCACACGGTGAATAACTGAAATCTAAACACTCGACGGTGTTGGTGTAGACATTTAACCAAATATAAACTGAACAACTTCAGCAATGTGTGAAAAAGGTGTTGCTAAGAGTAAAGTTTCTTCATGAGCACAGTGTCCAAATGTTGCCGTGTTCATTCCTACATGGAGGGTAATCGTAGACAAAATTGTGTGAGACCAACTTAACATACTTCTGTTTAATTGAAGGTTTTTAAAACATCTTGAACAATGTAAGTCGATAGGAAATGTCAACAGTTTCACCTAGATGTTTATCTTCGTCAAGTTTCCAAAATGGATGATATACCGGTAAAAAAGGTTATCTCAATTTGCTTTTTCTAATGTGGAGTAAAAATAATGGGTAAAAATGGCATTAAGACTCATTTTGTTGGATCTGGTTACAAACGGTCAAACGTGACACGATAGCTCACGTTACATTCTCAGTAAGAAGTGTCCGTCAACTCTGAACACGCGTGCATGGAAACGCAAAGGCTACCTTCTTTTACACTTCACCGTGTTTGCAATCTCTGATGTACGGAAGCGTATAAGAGCCACTTGCTAATACAATTTCGAGTTACTATCTCACTGCGACGAGATAGTAGCTCGAACAAAACTTTGTAAGGGGCCCTTAAACGCTTCCATACTGATGCCAGCAGACAGGTCTTTGAAAAGATGCTTTTTCCTTGTTGAGTCATACCGTGACGTCAATAAAAGGTATGTACAAAAGAAAAAAAATACCGCAGTAATTTATTCCAATCCACCGTGACTATGAATATGTTGGAATTTTTCGTGAGATTAATGAGTACCTGCAAACTATTTCATATGCCGGCGGTTTATGGCAAATGCCAATCTTGTCTGGCCTTCCAGATTCAAGACAGACTATGGGCTCCTTCGGGAGCAAGACAGAAAGCTTTTTTTAATCAAGCAATAGTCTCTTTTGAGCGAGGCACGTGTGCCCGCACTCGTCCACTCGCTGCTGTTAGAGACTGTCACGAACAGGTAACATCATAAATGGCATATTAGAGAGTGTGTGCACTGTTCAGGGGCAACAGTGGCGTTCGACGGCGTGCACTCACTCAATTGGGTTCAATAAAATTAATAACACGGTCAAGTGACACGTGCGCCGAGGATGTACATGCATTGATTATCATGGCAAGTCACCCACAATGCTTTGAACATCTTCAGTAGTGACAGCAACCCTTCCTTTACCAAATTTCGTGAAACGTGTTCGCCCTACCCAACGCCCTCTATAAGTGGAGTGGGTAGCGACCCGACAGTAACTTGTTTATCGCGAGGACAAATGGCAATCATTATATTGGAACCAGACAAAATTACACTTGCAATGCAAAGGCAACTAATTCGTGCCGATGTTATACCTTTTGTGCATTTTGTCACGTAAGAACCTATTCATGTGGTAGCCTTGCCTATCCAGCTTCTCTTTCAGCTCAACCATGCAGAGACCAATAATGATCGGTGTATACGTTTTGAGGTTGACCCTAACCCCCTAGGGTGTATGTAAAATCGTATTGAAATAGGAGGATTTGGGATTGTTAGGGTTAAAAAAGGTAAAAAGTAGGGAAAATAACTTTAAAACTTAAGGTACCGTTGTACCAATACCATTTTAAACTAATGTCATGTCATTAATGTCATGTAATGTTTCATCATTGTCTCCGCTTGTCCGCAAAATTAAGACATAAAAAAAAATCTCAGGCCTGAAACCCCCCTGGAAAAATTCCTGGGCCCGCTCCTAATCTGTGCCGTAATGCTTAACACTGGAAATTAGACAAGAATTGAATGTTCATATGAGTGGCGTATCCAGTGGGGTTAGGGGACAAGTTGTTTCCTCGATTGAAATGTGCAGCATTCTAGAAAAGGTACCACCACAATTCTTTACGAAAATGGGTTGAGTATCCTTTCACGGCTGAAATAAAACTGAATTTATGCCTTCGGGGGAAAATCCATTTTCCCCTCTTTGACTGAAGACCTGGATAAGCGTCTGGTACAGTTCGTTACGTCCCTTTTTTATTCTCAATCAAAATTCCGAGCCTTCTCAATATTTTGTTTCCGAGTGGTGATGACCAGGTGCATATTTGTTTGGACCTACGCTATGCACATTGTTTCCAAACCGCAACTCTTACTCTACATACATTATTCATGAGCCATGCGGGAGTTTTAACCAATCACCTCATTCTTCTCTCAGTTAATATAATCGATTGTGGCTGTCAAATTGTATTCAATTGAAGCAATATTCGATTCATTCTAGTTTGTAAATGTATAGTGAAGGTGCGTTATATGGAGTCGATTCCTCGCAGCCGAATATAGTATATTTGTATCGATTAAACGCGGCATGACCAGAACAGAACTTTTCGCTGCCGCTGTCAAAACTTTTGGTTTCAGAGCAGTGACCTGCTCCTCGTTTTCACCGAAAATTCTTTATTGGGAACGCGTGTTGGAGAGATATCAGGTAATTTACGACTCCAAGTAACTTGCCATTATGTGTGAAAGCCAGTATTTTCATTTCTTTTGGTCAAATTTGTGCGCTAAAATCATGATCAAAACAGTAATGTCGTGTGTGTGTACTTATCGTAGCATTGTATAGCAACACGTTACCACGTACGATTACATGTACACGCTTGCTATTATATTGAAGTTGTAGCCGATACCATGCTCTGCGTGTCCCCGCTTGTGTTTGTAGTTTTGCATTTTGTGTGCATTTCCTAGACTGCTAAAAATTACTTAAGGCCAGAATTTGTGACCATTTGACGGCCTATATCATGTCTCGAAGTATGGTCGTATGTAGCAGAGGTAGCATTGGTAATCTCTTTTATTATCATGATTATGCTGATAACCTCATTTCCACATTTTGGATTTTTACATTCAAAACCAATATTCGTTGCCCCTGTCAACTGGTGACATGTTGCCCACAGTTGTTGTTCTGGGATAATTTTTTACCTTCACCGAGTTGCTGTGCTGAAGAATATCCTCTTAAAAGAGTTCCATATTTTTTGACAACCTTGCATTATGTGTCAAATAGCTATCAGCATCAAGTATGAATTCTTTTCAATTTATTGAATGTGTTAGAATTAATTATAATTTCTAATGCGGTATATATTGTACATGGATCCTTGACTTTCTTCCTGGTGCAAGAAGAAATTAAATCAACTGCCAATTAACTCCCTGTGTCAGTGAGTGTCCATCACTGAATTTGAGAATTGGATCTTTCACTAAAAAACGGCTCGAGCCAACAACCCTTGTCCTCGTTTGTGAGACGGGATAATCGAACATTAAGCCACTTCGTTCAGTACATGTACATCCTTTTTATATGACTTGTTTTAGAGCCACAAATAGCCTTTTGCGAGTTACATATGAATAAAATCTCGTACACTGAGTTAACTGACTGTGCTTTAACAAATATGAATTCCCCCTGCAGACTGAAAACACTTGCTATATCTCGTGACTGGGGAAAGCTTTTGCATACCGACCACCTTCTCTGGAATGGACTGGTTCTCTTATGCCTGCCCCAAATCACGAGATATAGCAAAAGTGTCTTTAGCATAGAGAGTTCAAACGTTATGTTCACGTGATGTTGAAGAACTCAGAGTGCCAGACTTTATTCAAATTTAATTTTCAAAAGAGTTATGATTCTTTTTTTCAAGATGTATTTTTGTGCTGGGGAGATGTTAATTATATATAACAGGTTTGCCCTTACCCAACGTATATTAATAAGCACTGTATGATCAGTGCTTGTCACAACACCGAATGGTTAAGACATCTGCACTAGTAAGCAGGAGGTCGTGGGTTCGAGTCCCACCCGAGTAAGCTTGTGAGGTTTTTTTGCAAGCTCTCGGACAAGCACTGAGAATACAGTACTTATTAATATACGTTGGGTAAGGGCAAACCTGTTATATATAATGAGTTATGATTCATTGCTTTTCAAAGCGTATCGTTAAATGACCTCAAAATTGTACAGCTGTACCTACACCTGTTTATGTTTTGCTTTTTTGACCAACAGACCACCTCATGGGCCATCATGTCCGAGTCAGATGTATATCTGAATGCTTGGCTTCGTCCTTCGTTGATACCAAGAGCACAATCAACAGGAAGGAATCGCCTGACACGTACACATGCGACATTAGACGCAGGGAAAAAAGAACCCCAAGCCACTGCATTTTCAGGGTGCAGGAGTCGGGACGAGAATAATATGTGAGCATGTTGCAGGTGGAACAACCTAATGACAAGGACCGTGCGGGTGAAACTGATCATGTTGATCTGGCTGTAATCGTTTGAACAATCACATGTTTGAACTTACATTCTGTGACAGCACATTTAGTCGTATGTGGTATTGATGCTCAGAACGCGAAGCATCTTCTTCACGGCAGCATCGGCGAGAGTACCTGGAAAAAAGATGATCAAGCACATCAATGGACTTGTATCGGCGACATCCTATCACCGAAGGCTCTCAATAGCACCTTCACACTAAGGATTCATTCTAGTTCTGAATATCCGATACCCTTTGGAAGACCAGAGTCTGCTAGTCCAAGGCAAGAGTCTGTGGTTGTCTGAGCTTGCAAACTGAACTGCAGCAGCTGCAGCATTTGATTCCCAGCCTTAAGTGTGACGTCACTTGGAACTTTTAGGCTTCTCTTCTTGGAGACCATGCACTTAATACGTGCATGAAAGCCCGAGAAAGGCAATCACCAATAACTCCACGGACGTTTTGCTGATTGTGACCACTCTAAGGTTATTCTTAGCGAAATTGTTACATCCTTCGCATTTGCAGCTGCAGGAGAAAGATGTGTCGAACCATTTGCCGATAAGGGGAAAGCTGGCAGCACTGGGAAAAAAAGGTACGTGCACATAATAATAGGCAACATGTATTCGACCACATTAATACAATTAATCCCAATGACCTGTTTGTGATTTGTACAGACCGTTGCACAAGTCTTCTAAAGTAAAAATTAGTGGAAACCGAAAACGTCTACCTCTGCGTTGAATATCTATATGTATCAGGATTTCGAACGGTATCGTAATGGCAAGTAAAGTGAACACTGTGTTACAGATATGTCGTTGAGACCCAAGAGTGGCATATTTTCCGCAAACGGTAAAGTTGGTTTCTCTTCAGGTTTGTAAAAGCTAAAATTAAGTCTGGTTAAAACTTGCATATGCGTTCATTTACAAATTTAAATATTGTCTTGTTTCATGTCGGTGAGCATCGAAGGTCATCTATCTGTAAGTCGTGTGATAGATTAAGATACTGATATCAACGTTGTGTTTAATTTTCCATATCGTCAATCGTTGTGGACTCTTGGGTTGAATTTTTGTTGATTCGTGAGCAAATCGACATCTAATCGAAGAATTTTATGAGAATGATTATACTTTGAACGGCAGTATGAGAGTGATTATATTGATTTAGATAAAAAGGACAAAATCAGTGTGATGCAGGACTATTTCTGTCGCAGGAGGAAACAAAAGTACTTTAAATGATTACTGCACTTCATAATCATGCAGCGATTAAGTGTAATTATGGTCTTGGTGTAAAATATGATTAAACGCAATCGAACAAGGCGGTTTGTGCGATTGGGGAACATCTTTGCATAGATTCACCACACGTGGAAGCTTAATGCTGAAATTTTCTGTTTGAGAGAAGCTGCTACTGCACTGTCGAGGCGTGAAGTGGGCGGAACACCCAAGCCTTTCGGGATTAAAGCAAAATGGACAGCATTCTGACCATGTTTTGCAAAATCGTGATTGTCGCACACGCATGACATGAGCAAATAGACCACGTTGAGCAACATCGCAGATTTCGCTTCCGATCGAGTAAGTCTTACCTACGTACGTTTCAACCGATAGGCAATTCGGCATTTGTTTATTGCCTTGTGGGTTGTAAGATCTGCAGTTTTGTCGCAAGAACTCAATTTCGGCTGAGCCGTGGGCACACTTTGGTCTGTGATGCTCTGCGATGTTGAACTTGTGATGAGTCTCGAGATTCTCCAGTATAATACATGACAGACACGTCAAGGAAAGGAAGGGATTTTTTCTCTCCTTGATAATCAATCTTTTGCACAAAACTTGTCTTCCAAAGTTACCGTGCTTTTAGTCAGTGGATGATTTGAACAAAGGTCAGCACAATCCTTTTCTTTGACTAGAATTCCGCGACGTTAAAATATAACAATTTAAGTGACCCCGATAACTGAACAGAAGGCCTAATGTATGCCTGACGGTCAGCAACTTCCCGTTAGGACACTCGAATAATTTGTCGATCTTTGAAGGAAAGTGTATGATCAGATATTATAATCCCCCTTCCCCCCCTTAAGTCGGGCACAGCACATCCACAGATTAGAAAAACCTGCAAATGTTTTAGGGAAATTTCCTGGAGTCTCAGGGGAAATCTTCTCAGCGTGCTGGCATTAAGTCTCTGGAACTGTTTGATGCGGGTGATAACCGAGAAGCCGCACGCTGAGCGGTCCAACGGTGACAGTGTATGCTGGCAGTTGTAATGTCTAAGTGTGCATGGATATGGTAACCATTTCTTAATAAATCAAACATATATTCTACAAACAAACCAAATATTTTTGTTCCCCTCGGGATGTATTAAACCGATGAAATTTGGTAACCGTCTTTTCAAATGTAACATTGGGAATACCAGTATAGGAGTAATAAACCAACATTTGTCAGGGCCCATCACGAAATCCTTACCGTGGAGGTATTTGCATATGAGGGACAAAAAGTAGCGAAGAGGGGGACCTGACAGGTTATTTTTGGTATTCAACCGAAGTGGGATGACACCATGATGTTTGAGATTTCTACTGTAGAAAAGCGTAGAAAAGAGAAGATGAAAATGGTTAATGGAATGATACGCCAATTAAGCATCATTGGAGGAATGCTTCATGTTTCTGTGGCTGTGTAGCAAGTGTCAGTTCAAATCTCTTGGTGTGATGGGATTTTCATCGATATTTTAATTGATGACGAGATCGGCGCAATATAAAATGAACCTCATAATTTAGTCTTTGCTCTTTGTTTTTTATTTGACAGCATCTTGTTTATTTTCAACCATTCAAATAATCAAAAGTAATCGATTTGTCCACAATCGATCAAATTTCTATAGTATTCGACTGCACCCTATTTATCTTGTATTCATTTGATAATTTGTGATTTACAGTGTTTGTGCATATGAGGTGTTGCACCTCATAATGCACACGCTCGAGCACGATAACTAATTCCACAAGAAGATTGAGCCCAGGCCTTAACATTTTCTCTTTTGATTCAGCAGACTCTTAAAAACATCGATGCATTTTCTTCCCTCATATTCACAGTACGTCATGAGCACAGTTATATTGTTTGCTAGCCGGTGCTGCCACCGTGCAGCCCTGCAATTATTTCCAACGATGGTAAACGCGCTGTTACCCAGGGCAATGACGTCATCGTTCTCCAAATAATTGCTTGCTTTTGTGCATTGCGAGTGGGAAAAATTGGTTCCAGGAAGCCGCAAAATACGTCCTTATAATCCCCGCGTAATTGACGGTTATTTACACCAATTTGCCCTTCTGCCACCTCCCAGGCGCATGCCGTCCTAAATAAGTTATCGCGCAGGGGGAATTCATATAAGCCTATTTCAGTTGAACCTCGGGATGTTTCAAATATCTACGGCAGAGCTTCATTTTTTCAACTCAAATTATTATCCAGACCTTTTTCTTCCAAGAAAATATAATCTATCGGGTGTTTTGACTAACATTCAGTTTGACTGCACGTAGGCCTATGTCGCCGCAAAAGGCTGAAACGTCTCCATCTTTGAAAACTCATAGCTTTAGAACATCTGAGTCACGAGAAAACGTTTAAACGTAGAATCCGAGAATCGCGAATTGTGAATCTAGATTAATCGAATTGCTTTAAAAAAAAGCAAGAAATGAGTCGCCGCTTTGCATTGTAAAATTTGTTGTTCTTGCGGGGTATAGCACATTACCGGTACCGTGTGGTTTGGAAGTTCGGTTCGACAGCGTGTCAAGTGTGTAAGTGTCACATTATCACGGACGAGGCACGGATTCATTCGGTGCTTTTATATATGGATTCGAAGTTTAGAAAGGGAGTTCAGAACCGACACGAACTTGGACAAGCAACGTGAGAACTTCCAGTGTTGGACTGTAAAAAATATACTGCTTTCCTGCGCATTGGGAGCTGACGTACGTAGGCCTACATGCACTCCGTTCAATGAAGTGCCCGCTTTGTCAACTTCGTCGTGCGTTCTGAAGAATTTCCAAATTTTGTGCAGGAAATCCACGGACTAATTTCCTTCGTACACAGCAGTCAGTTTTAATCCACACTTACGGTACTTTAAGGTCAAAGAACATTGGATTCTATATTGTGATTCATTTTTCTATAAATCCGCTTTCTTTCAGTTCCATTGTAAGGGGAACTGATTAGCTACTGTGTTTTCGGCACATAGGCCCTATGCGGCTTTGTTTCAAGCATTGCTGAGATCATCCACTGCGGTTTCACCAAATTGACTTAGTGACACCTCCGTGAATTCCTTCAAAAGACCTAATAGCATTACGCGAAGGTCACGTGCAAATGGAACACAAACTTAAGTGAATTACAAATTTGGCCACCACGTGCTGATAAAACACAATTGGAATTCGCGAGCAAAGCCGGATCGGTGTATCTCTCTCTCTCTCTCTTTCTCTCTTTGGTGCGGAGGAGTCTCGGTAACCGTTGGGAGGGATGTAGCCGCCCCCCCTCTTTGCATTGAACCCACAGTCCTATCGATTCCTCGTCTTATTTGGAGTGCATAATTAAATACGCAGTTGGACTGATCTGGTTTCTCTACAAATAAAATTCCGTATGGGTAGAGCTCGCATCCGTGTTTCGATATGGCTTAGGTTTAGGCGTACTTGAATACTGATGCAAGGATCATCTGCCAAAGCCCTCATTAGTCAAAGTATACATCAACAGTCGCGGAAGAAAAAACACATCAAATCTCGTGGCGGGAGGTAATTGGAAACTACCCAAAGAGGCGCCTTGCGCTTTTAAGAAATTCTGAAACTGGCCAAGTGCTTCTGTTTTTTTTTTCTTCAGCGAGTTTGGGCAGAAGATAGGGCGGCAGGGAAGTAATAAGAAGTTTATGTCTTTAACAACGTTTTGGGTCACGTCCTCGTCAGTCAGAATTTCCCCTGAGGTCAATCAGGCCTTGGGGGTCTACATTTGTTTTCATTTGTAGAGATGTCGGGGACATTTTGTTCGTCTAAAGAATCCATCTTCTAACTTTTATTATTTGGATGCAAGCAGAATCTCACGGGGCAAGTTCTGGTCGCTTTATAATGCCATCTCGATGAACGCTGTCGACACAAACACGTGGCATAATTCGGGGACCTGCAGAGTTGCGGTTCCGCCAAGCGATTAGCGAATTTGAAATTCCAAGCAGACGCAACCCGGAATAACAAAGATCATTATTGCTACACTGAGACGCACATTAGCGTGGGAGCGGCCGGAGATTATTTAGCTCCCCAGGGGTGCAATCTTCTTTCGTTGGGTTCATTTTGCCAGTGGCCCATCGGCCCATCGGCCCATCACATGATTCATCATGCCCACATTATACATGTCTAATGGACAAGTTACAGATTACATTTTCTCATCAATAATGAGGCGGCTACGTAAGTTATTCGGGTGTAGCGCCTTAGTATTCTTGTCATTACCAGACGGCACTTATGTTTTGAGTTGTGCTCAGTAGTTGTATGGACCATTAAAAAATATTTTTCATTGGTTTGGGGGTACAGGCTTTTGCAGGAGGTGCACGTACATTTTTAACCGAAAGAAAATCATGTTACTATCAAACGCATCCAAGAAGCAGTACTGT